AACCCTTCTTCCTTCTCGTCCTCTTTCCCAGGCACATTGGTCGCAGCAAACACGCTGGTGATCTGCGCAAATACACCAACTTGGTGAACGGAGTTGATATCGGTGATGACGTCCGAGTCGGCCTGTTCGTCTTTGAGGAGAAACGCGCCCAAGTATGGTTGGCCGCGCTTCATCATTTCTTTTACAGTCGCGACGACTTGGGGATTACGAATGACAACTGCCTTGTAGAAACCGGGGAATAGAGGTCTTCGGGCTATGGGAAGGGCGAGTACTTGGGGGTAATTCTCTGGAACGGATTGGCGAGAAATGGATGTAGGAGGCGTTGGGGAGGAAGGGTCTGCGGGTGGTGGGGATGGAGGGTCTGAACTATCTGGATTATCCCCACCAGAAGATGATGAGGACGGCGGGGGAGATGAACCCCCGGAAGAGCTGCCGGCATCGTCTGGGGAGCTGTGCAGTCGCACGACCTCAGACCCAAGGGAATCCATGTTGGGAGAGGGCTGGGCATCGGGACAGGATGGCTTTAGATATCTACCAGGAAACGAAAGGGGTGTTTCTGTCAAGATGGAATAATGACGCGTTTTCTTAAGGGATCGTGTGGGCCATGGGGGAGTGGTAGTTCGGATATGTTGTGCATTGGAGATGGTGCGAAGAGAAGAGTAGGCGAGTCCCCTCGTAGTGGAGGCACGCAGGCTGGCCGCCATGAGATACATCTCAGGCCAGCTTGGTAAACAACACGTCCTGCAACGTCGCCGTCGATGTCGACGACCCCAACGCGCGTTCCCGAACGGGTCGTCGGCTCTGCACCGGTCCGGTCGCTCCCGGCTCACACCAACAATATTAAGTTGTTCCTCATTATGCAAGACCACGTCTTCCGGAGCCAAATAAATGAATGTGGAACAACGAGGGCACGAGCATGGTTTGCAGCGGGAATTTGGAATCTGGGATTCACTTGTTTCCCGTGGTTCCTGGAAGCAAGCCTGGAAGTGGAAATTCCGTCTGTATCATCTAACATTTCACACTTTCGGATGTAGCTGGAGTGGGTGACCTGTAAGTACTCGGGAGTCCCTTTTCAAGATCCACCAGAGAAAATCAGACGCCGAAGCTGAAGTGCGCTCAGTAGTGTCTTTAATTTGAGGGTAACAACAGGGCATGCGCGGGATGAAGGGGAACAGAGTCACGGGATTGCTGCAACTGCGGCGCGGGCACGCGTCTCTCTCTAATGACCCGATCTAAGGACCTCATCGAAAGCAACTCACTGATATTTCGCGTATATTCTCGCCGATTGGCCAACCCTGCAGATGCAGACATCTTCATTACCTCGGCGGGAAAGCTCGCGACCTTCTTGTCCAACGCGAGGGCGTATTATGCCCAGGCACAACTACCGGTGCGTCCGCAATGCCTGTGCACAAGCCTTTCATCCTCCTTTTTATCCCTCTCTTGGACTAATGTGTTCACGTTGGTCTTTGAACTAGATAATCGAAATTCTCGAGGTGAAGCGTTCTAAGCGTCTTAAATCCCGCTCGCTCAATCCCCGGCCTCCGTGTCTCACAGGTTGCGCGTAACGCGCTGAAGAATATTGCGCCAAGTGTGTTCGACAAACCCGGCACCCTGAATAAAGCTGCTATTCCAGTGGACAAAGTCCCGCTCTTCGATGCTTTCGACAAACTCGCCAACACCGTAACGCCATACCTTTCTCATTTCACCGACGAGTCCCTGAAAAGTATGTCACCTTTCTTGATGCGATGTCTTTCTTGTTTGCTAAAATTTGAACCCATAAGACAGACTTCTTTCACTTCTGTCCTCAGTTGGCGTTTCCCTGCCACCAGAAACTACTAACATGACGTCTGTTGCTCCTCCGATCCAAACACCTGCCGACCCACCGACAGGACATCAGGCTGATCCCCCCGCATCTCGGACTCAACTGCCTTCACCGATAGGAACCGCGTCCCCGGATCCTATGGTTATGACATCGGGATTACTTCCCACTGTAAAGGGAACAGCAGGTGGTCTGCCAACCTCTGCGCCGGTTCAGGTACAACCTCTAGCTCCCGTCGAGGTGAAAGGTGGTGATGATGGCGATGTAGCCTCATCAGCTCCAAGCCAGCAGCTCGTACAGTCTCCCACCAGTATGTCCCCCGGCCGGCCTCTGTCCCCAGAGGCACCTGTTCCGAAGGATGTGACGAATCCGGTTTCCACGGAACCCAATCAGACATCTCGTCTTCCTACTTCTTCCTTGCCCAGGTCGTCTGCAACGCCATCACTTCATGCCCAACCCTCTTCGCCCGTCTCAGCTCCGCGAATAGCGTCCCCGTCGACCCAGAAAATCCCAACGACGCCTTCTGTTACTCTGCCATCCGCCCTTCCCCACATTACACCCCAAGGCCAGAATACTCGCTCTACACCACCGTCTCTGATACCCACAGGGCAGGTTGGGGTAGTACAAGTTTCCCAGAGTGGTCCCCTATCTCAGGTTCGACCACCTACACTGATTCCAACTCCTCTAGCACCCCTTGACTCTTCATCTCCCGGTCGAAAAAAACCAAAGCCGCCGCCCAGACGACAATCCTCTGGGCTGGATTTTCTGCAGCTAGATTTGCAGGTTGCGCGCGAGAAGAAGCAGAGGGCCGCTGCAGACGCACAGAAATCTGGTTCTGCTACTCAGGTATCGCCACCTGTGCCCTTCATATCCACCGAAGTCACTGCGACTACATCGCCATCATCAGCTTCAACCGCTGGCATGCCGGGCACACCAGCGGCTCTAACTTCCACGTCCACTGCCCCTGCTGCTGTACAAGTTGCCCCAGCTCCTACGCATCTTCCCACAGGAACAACGCCCCTGCATACTACGGCCACCACATTCGGTGGTTCGAGCACAGCCTTGCAGTCACAAGAAAGCCAGACGCCCTCTCCCAGTCTTGTTCACCGCGACTTGAGGCAAGGATCTAGGAATGGTACCTCTGGCGCGAGTCCTCGCAGGCTGCGGATCACCGACCGTGCGCCGCCTCCGCCTCCTGAGCCTGGCTCATCGGTTGCGCCGATCGTGATTGAGGATGAGGAGCCTACGACCAAGCCTGCAAGTGAACCGACATACGTCGATTCGCCCACCGAAGCTCTTCCGGTTGAGAAGACAGTGACTGCGTTGGACCCTCCGGGGAGTAACAGGGATATGAGGGTTGACGGCAAACCCCAGCCTGGTCTGGAAGGAAAAGCGGCATCCGAACAAGTTCCGCAGCAAAATACCTCCGTCTCGGCTTCCGTATGTGAGAAACCGTCAGGCGCATCAGGGATTCAGCCTCAGCAAGGAACTCTTGGTGAGAACGAAAAACAAACAGGGGAGGATTCCGTGGAGAGTCGTGGTCCTTTAATCATCGGCGATGTGCCTGGTGCCACAACTGAACCACATTTAGGTAGTGAGTCCTCCTCCCTTAGCTTGGATTCTACTTATACTGCTGTGGGCGCTACGACGGTACCCAAAGAGAAGGAGACAGAAGTAATGCCCCCAGCATCTGCGACGACAGCCCCTACAGCTGTGGCGCCCGAGTCCCCTTCTGCAATAGTGACAAGTCCCGACGCCAATGAGCCCACCCCACGACCACATCCTGCGAAGCTTAATCGAATCGGAGACCACACGGCCGTCATCTCCTTGGTCGAAGCATCGGTGGACACTGGGAAGCGGCAGAGGTCCCCCACTCGTACTAATGACGACACAAGGAGAGTGTCACTAAGAAAAACATCTATTGCAGAAAGGCAGCAGGACATTCCTACCGTTCCTTTACAGTCTGGCGTTGTATCAACTCTCCCTGCCACCATCATTGTTGACACGCGAGAGGGAAAGAAAGAGGGCGAGGCAGAGATAACGGATGACCACTCGTTTCCGCCAAGGCAGGCGCTTTCCCAGATACAACCGACTTCTAGCAGCGGGGCGAGTGTGTCGATACTGCCCGCTCCTCGCACAGGGCTGCATCCAACCACAGAATTGCTCAGCAGTGCGGCTGTATCACCCTCCTCTACCATTGCTCCTCCGATCGTAGTTCTTGGGACTCGCTCCGGGCGTTCGAGCGCCTCGAACCCTTCCTCCGACTCTCGCTCGATCTCGCCGCCATCTGGAAACCGACCCTTGGATGCTGGGACCGAGCTGGTCAAGGCTGAAGAGCTCGAAGATGAGATGATAGACGAGTTGGCGCCATTGTTTGGGAGAGAGATGAGAGTGATCTGCATGGACAGGGCGTACGACATTCCTGGAGAGTTCACGTGGGAGTTCAATCTTCCTCCTATGGACTGGGACAGAGTTTCAAAGTGGGCCAAGGCGCCGGAGAATCTCGAGTGTGTTCGTGTCTTGCATCACGTTTGAACGTACTAACCTTCGATTTGTGGGGCCCATTTCCCCTTCTAGCTCGGACGTCTCGCAGGTGAGATGCGTGACTCTGGCCTGCTACTCAATGCAGGACCTTGAGCCTTATGCAAGCCAAGACGGCTTGGCTCGCGAGAAATGGTTCGAAAACGTCAGGCCGATTCCGTGGGCAAAGCTGCCGCGATATCTGTGGGCGTCGGTCAACGATAAATTCACCGAGGTGTTCCCTCCCTACCTGGTACTGTTCTGTCCTGTCTTTCCACGCATGTCGCTGGCTGACTTTGATCTACTAACCAAAAAGTCCCCTGATGACCTTTTTGACATATCTCCTTTACTGCAACTGGGGCCGAATAAGATGACCTTCACTCAGATTGATGGCATGGCAGAGTACGTGCTTGTGCTTCATGGACACCGTCCGACTCGTGGCCAGCTTGTGCCCCTGCGTGCACGATGGGATCAGGAGAGGCGCTTCATGGAACAACTGGAATGGTTTGCTCGCCCATTTACTATTGAAGAGTGGTAGGGAACATCGATTTTGTGACTATATAGATACCACTGTACCTGCATATACCATTTTTCGGTGGAATTCAGCCATTGTGTGGCCTACTCGCGGTCTCTATTTATTTTGGTGAACAGACAAATTCAAGGTTCAGTGGTCTAATGGTTATGATTTCTGTCTCACATTGTGAACTGAACACAGAAGGTTCCCGGTTCGATCCCGGGCTGAACCACTTTTTGCAACTTCGAGTCTGTAACACATATTACCTTTTTACGCATCTGACCGTCGTTTGATTCTTCTTTCACGTTCACGACAGATTAGCGGGTATTGTAAGGTGTCTTACACAATGTAATTACGCCGAATGAGTGTCGCCCCTACTCATTTCTTATTGAAGTAGTTTGCAATCCCTCCCTTCTGTAAACTCGGCTTCGACGGTTTACGCTTTAATGCCGACGCACTCTTCGCAGGTGCCTTTGCAACCTTCTCGACCGTTTCGCCCTCATCCTTCACCACGGCCGGGGTAGAGACAGCGGCCTTCTTTCCCTTTCCCTTTCCCTTCGCGGGTTTCTCAGGAGGCGGCGCCTCCTCGTCCACGGATTCGTACGACGAATAATCCTCGGTCACTGCGTCCCACGGCACGCGTATCAGTTCAGTTCGCTCCCGAACCTTCGCACAGAAAGCGACAACGCGAGGAAGACGACGACGCACCAAGGTAGCCCTTGTCGTCTGTGGTCATGCGGGGCTTGACCACCCGTCTCTTCTTGAGTCCGTTGCGGCCCACGGGCACCTCCTTCTTCGGCTTGCGCTGACGCTTGCGGGCGGGCGCGGGCGCGGACACGGGCTCTGGTTCCGCTTCCGCTTCCACTTCCGGTTCTGGCCCCGGCCCCGGCCCCGGCCCTGGCACGAGCTCGCGATCTTCCATCTCGACGTCCGTGGCTGGTGGCGAGGTCGCTGGCTCTGAGAGCGAGGTGGCGCGAGAGACCTTCGTGACGCGCTCTAGGTACGAGGTACAAAATAAAAGGCAAGAAAAAAAAAAAGAAAAAACGTCAGCCCCTTTCTTTTCTCTTCTCTTTGCCTTTTTTTTTTTTGGGTTTTTTTAGGCCGAGAAATATGGGGGTGAACTTTGTCCTTACCGTCGTCGATGTCCATCATCGCCTGCAACTCTGGATCTGGAGAGGCCGGTTTCGCTTTTGTCTTGTACGCAGCTTTGGCGCGCGGTGGCTTCGGTGCGTGTGCGTCCTCTTCCTCGTCGTCCGAGATGACGATCCCTCTCTTGACGCGCGCGGTGCTTTTGGACTCTGTACGCTTGGACGACGACAACGACGGCTTTGCAAGTGCGCCTGCACTCTCGTCGTCGGAATCCGAAAGCTTCAGGGCGGGCTTCTTTTCAGCGGGAGGCTGGAGACCCAGACGTCAACCTCGTCGAGGAAAAAAAAACACAGCGAAAAAGGAGAAAATAGAAATAAAAATAAAAACCTTAGCCGTCGACTTGGGGGGCTTGGGTTCCGATTTAAAAGTCAATTTCGATGCCGTCGAAGACTCCCCTGGTTCGACCTTGACCTTGAGCATGTCTTGTTGAGCGGGCCTGGGCGCAGACTTTGCTTTGCTAAAGTCAAGCTTCCCGGAAGGTTTCGGTTTCGGTTTCGGGGGCTCATTTTTTATCTCGAGTTTGACGTCTTTTGGTTCGGATTTGATGATGACGGGCTTGGAATCTTCAGCCTTGGAGGGGGCTTTCGATAGACCGGGAAGTTTGTTCTTGGAGGTTGAGGGGGCGGCGGAGGACTTGATTTTCGCAGAGGGCCGCGCTGCTTGGATATCTGTTCGTTTCTAGTGACAGACTTTGTTAGAACTTGGAGTGAGAGGGAGCGCGGAAGCCATGAACTTTGATGTGCCAACCTGGACCAGTGATTCGACCTAGTGCAACGGTGAAACCGGCACCGAGGCTTTTTCCCTCTTCTCGAAGACACTTCGCGGGCTCGCACAAAAGGGCTGGTTCCTGAATGTCGTTTGCGTGAAGCTAAAAAAAAAGGGGGAACAAAGACGATACTCACGCGAATGGGTGAAGGGGAAAGACTGTAGATATGGACAAAGTGAATGCGTGTATATTGCTCCTTCGAGGCTAGGGGAAGCGTGGGGAAAGGGAAAAGACTCAAAAGCGACACTCGTGCGAACGGAAGAGAGGTCGTACTCTCGAGATCTGCCTCGCTGATCAGAGTGATTTTCGTCTCTGGAACATCTTCCGAACCGGAACCATCGTCCGTCCCTTCGTGATCTACGGTCATCTCGTCCGCATCTCGCACGCTGTCTAGGTATGAGATACACGGCTCTCCTCCGATGATATAGGTCGCGTGAGCAGCGTCCAAAGAGCCCGCGTGCTCGGAGTGGTAGTGGGCAAGCTCGCTGAGAACAGGTCATTGCGAGCCCGGGACGAGGACGAGGACGTGGAGCGCACTTTTTGGCCTGGTTTACGTGGATACCAAGGGCATTGCTCAGGGAACGATACGTAACCTGGAAGAGGAAACGAAAGCAGCAAAAGTAAGCTGAGCACGAAGCCGATGATTCTGTAAGGGGGCGTACAATGTTCTTCCCGACAACAAGCTCCTCGGTGAGAAAGTCCAACACATGATTCGATGACATCCCAGGACGTTCACTTAGAAGTGTTTGCCGTAGAGACCTGGGCAAGAGCTTGGGCTAGAGAAGGATCAATAGTTTAATCCCCTACGCAGCGAGAAAGGAAAAAATATTACGTAAAATCGGCCAGAAAAGGTGGAATTAGTCAGAGTGACCAGCTCGCTTTGTAAGTGCTTACTAATCGCTCTTTCTTCGTGCTTTCTCTTCCCCCCCTTCCCCGTTTCCCACACTCGCTTACTAAGCTGCTGTCCACTTCTGCTCTGCTGCCCACATGCTTACCAAGCATCAGCACACTCGAAAAACTCGAAAATTGCTGCCACCTGACACTGTACACAGCCCCCACCTTTAAAAACTGTTACAGATAACTTTTCTGACACTTCAAAATGGCCACAACTTTCTCTGACTGATATTTTTTGACAATATAACTTTTAAATAAGTTTCTCACACTTGAATAAATCAGCCAAAGAACCTTCTCACACCTAAAAATTAACATGAAAACTGTCAAAATTGTGGCAACTTTACTGATATTACTTTCTCACACCACAACTTTACTGACTTTTGTGCTACCACCTTGGCTACCACTCTACTTTAAACTGTAAATCAAAAATATAAAATGAGTGGTTTTGTGACATCTTATTAACTTGCAAATTGAAATGTTTATCAAGTACTTTAGAATCATAAAATGAATGAAAATTACAGTAACCATAACTGATTTTCTCCCACCTAAAAATTAACATGAGAACTGTCAAAATTGTGACAACTTTACTGATATTACTTTCTCACACAACTTTTGTACTGACTTTTACTTCAAAATATTAAAGATAACTTTAGTCACTGACTTTCTTACTTTAAAGTTGGCTGGACTCTGTAACACTGCCACTCTACTTCTTAAACTGTAAATCAAAAATTTAAAATGTGTGTTCTGTGACATCTTATTATGTTTATAACTTATAAAATGGAGCAAAATTTATTGTGAATGTTTATCAAGGGCTTTAAATCATTAAATGAATGAAAATTAACTGTAACTGACTTTGTAACATGTATCACTTGCTAAATATTGCTGACAGTTTGATAAAAAAATGTTATTGAGGACTGAACCTCTTCAGTTACTTTGTAAAAAAAAGGTAAAATGGTATTACGATAAATACTATGATTACTTATAAAAATGATTTTATAAATTTGTTAGAAACATGGGAGTGTACATTCTAAAATAACATTCTCACATTTACTGTAAAAATTGGCTTACTTTTCTATATGCTAAAATTGCTTATAACTTTAGACCCTTTGCTCTTACACTTGAACACATTAGCCAGATGACTTTTGTTATACAACTATGTACTGGCTATACTTTAACAGTAGCTGTCACTCAAATGGAAAATGTGATATAAAGTTTGGATCTATGACATTGTATTATATATTTTAAATTAGAATGAAACTTTATGATGACATTTTGTGAAAGTTTAAGTGCTACTGAGGTAAATAGTGTATATACAGGAATATGATGATGTATCTATGTATCTAACATGACTGGGATTACTTTGAGTGTGCGTGCGCAGGGGGTTTGGGGGCGCAGCCCCCAACAAGTTAGAGTCTCATGCCGTAGGCATGAACTTTAGCTTGTCAATAGTTTAATCCCCTACGCAGCGAGAAAGGAAAAAATATTACGTAAAATCCGCCAGAAAAGGTGGAATTAGTCAGAGTCTCCAGTTTGCTTTGTAAGCGCTTAGTAATCGCTGTTTCTTCGTGCTTTCTCTTCCCCCCTTCCCTGTTTCCCACACTCGCTTACTAATCAGTGAGCTGCGTCGTCCGGGTGTGGCAACCCGAGCAAAAAGGGAAGTATTCAACTTCTGCCTCCCTGGCTCTCTGCACCACAACCCAAATAAAACATTTCCCTCTTTCTCTTTGCACAAATTCTTTCCACTTAAAGCCAATACACCCTCACCTTTATTTTCTCCTCATCAAAGGTTTGTCCATGTGTCTCAAATAGGGTTTGAATAATGTTTTAAATTTTTTTTTTCTTTTTTCAGCACAACTTCACACTTTCCCCTTTGGTTTTTACTGATCTCAACAGTTGTCCTTTCCCCTTTGGTGTGTATACAAATGCTTCTTTATATGTTTTACCTTTCTAATCTTTTAATTTAAGGGTTTCTTGCTCTTGGCTCTCTCTGTGCTGTGCTCTCTTGGCTGGGCTGGCATTTGATTGGGTTTTCAAGGGATTTGGAGCAGAGGTGGTGTTCTACCACAACTGCTGAGAACAAGGTGACACTTAGTGAAGTCCTACCTACCTGGCTTCCCTCCGGGGTGTTTGCCGGTTGCTAAGCTCTTGCAAAAGAGTGGACCGCTCTCTAGGTGCAGTGTACAGGGAGATTGGGTTGGTGGGGTGGTCTTTGACCACAATTAAGTTACCTCCCCTTCCTTTATAGGAAGTTGCTCCACTATCAACTGTCGCTGCTACCACCGATTTCACATATCTCCTGTGAGAACTTGGTCTTTTGCTTAGCTTGGCTCTTGGCTCTGTTCTTGGCTTTGGTTCTCTTGGTTGTTTTCTTGGAGCTACGCTATGCCCTCCACTCCTCCTCCCTCCCCTCCTCTTCCTGCTGC